ATTTTGCAATAATCTTACGCCACCCTTACACAAAACGACGATAATTTTTCTAATTTTATGGACAACAGAAGACTGTATTTTTTCTACATAACTCCCCCTGAATTTAAAGCTGGATCCGCCCCCTGTACTCTCCCCTCATTTGCGTCTAAAACCTTTCCAGACTAGAAGCCGGTTTGTGCCTGTATGGAAGCGACATCGACGCAAAAACCACCCCCATTGAAGGCGCCCTCACTTGGCTGGTGGCCAAGCGGCGAAGACTGGATACAAACTTTCCAGGGGCCTCAACAATTCTCCGGCAAATCCAAGCGGGGTGAACTTTGCAAGTTTTTGCCCTGCAGTGCAATGAAACTGTGTTTTTCCTTCAGCTCAAAAGTGAAGCGCGTTGGCCTGGCGGCTTCTTCAGGCCCTCCAGCCCGACATGGCGCCCAAATTCTCTCCACAGACGGAGGAGTTTTAGGAGAAATCACCTCAGGATGCCCGTCTCCCAGCCTGGGATTCAACATAGCGATGGGCTACGTTTCGAGCGAGTTTAGCAAAGTTGGGACCAAGTTGGGACTCAAAATTCGGGACAAGGTTTATGAGGGCATCGTCACTAAAATGCCATTTGTTAAGGCCAGTTACTACACTAAACCGAAAATAAACTAGTTTATTGCCGAAATTTGTGTTTTTTATTAATGAGTTGATGGATCGTGGTCACGGTAATGAGACAGTGTCAATTTTGCGGCTTTTCTTAATCAAAAAGTGATGCCAATCTGTTGGTCTGGATGGGACGTTTTATGGGACTTGCTCTTTTTTGGGGCCCTCCTGTATGCGACTTCAGCGGCAAGTTGTAAGTAGTTACTTCCACAAACACACTTTCAATGATGATTTTAGTGTGAAATCTTTAGTCAAAAACTTCGGCGCGAAAAAACGCTCAGCAAACAGCGTCTTAAAAACAATCCTTTATCTCCTTCTAGTGCTGCTTGTTCGCTTGTACACATGGAGACAAATGATGTGTGCGAATTCATCAGCAAAAGTCCATTGCATAAGGACCCGAGGGATTCAAAACTGCCCCTACTGCGGCTTGGAACAGAGCCCGAAAAGCGTATTTTGTTGCCATTTGGAACATTCCTTATACGTGACGATAACCGGCTAACACAAGCGAAACTTTCAATCAAAAACAACTAAAATACAGCAAATTTAGATTGGTGTTCGTAAAATACGTGACACATCGCAGGTAGTTCACTTCCACTTTATCAATGTTCCACCCATTCAAGGTGCCCAAAGAAACCAGCTTGGGACAGTGGCTCATCAGAATTATCACTGAATTGCTTGTTAGTCCCCTGGCTACCGACAGCCAGAACTCCTCTAGATGCTGCAGTTTGTCCTCCTGGCAGGCCTGTTTTATATCCAAGTCACTCAGATCGACGTCATTGGAGATTGCCAGTCTTCTAAGGCGGTCGCAATGCTGCAACAGCTGCAGCACCAAGTCCTTCTTCAGGTTGCAGTCGATAGCTTCAAATGAGGCGAGATTGCGGAAGCACAGCGCTTCCAACGAGCTGATCTGGATGTGGCAGGATCTCATTTGAAGCGCCTCCAAAGTGCAGCACAACGCATTGAAGTTGATTGCTAAGTGTTTGAGCTCCAGAGAGAGCAGCTTTAGCTGCTTTAGATTAATGTTGGTTAAATGGCCGTGATATTGGGACAGCGCCAGCTTCTTCAGCTTCATCAGCTCTCCTAAATACTCAAAAACCTCCTCCACCGGGTCCTCCAAACTGAGCAGCTCCAGCTGAGGACACACCGCGATTATGACTCGAATTTGCTCGATTGTCGTATCGAAATCACTGATCGCTCTCAATCTGGATATAAAAGGAGTGTTGAGATTCAACAGCGACCTGCCAGTATACTCGTAAGAGCGCACTTCTTTCAAGTTGGGCAATCGGGGCAAAATCTCCGCTAGAACGTCCAGATTTTCAAAATTCTGGACGGTGCCAATTACAAGCACCTGGAGCGATTTGCTCGAAATGTAGCTTAGGCCCTTGTGGGTCACATCGCAGTGGCCACTGATGTCCAGCAGCTCCAGATTTTCCAGATTTTTCACCTCCTCTAGGACCTCATCGGAGGCAAAGTCGGGAATTATCAGGGTTCGCAATGAGGGACTTTTCCTGATGATCCCTCTTAAGGTTTTTTCACCAATCTACAAGGAAACGCATGATTAGATCAGACGGTGCAAAAAATCTTCTGGAACTTTTTTATACACGGTGGGCCAAGTTTTAAAATGCAGATTGTTTGAAATATATCAGGAGCTATTGCTAACTTTGCCCACTTTTTGCCAATGTGCAATAAGTAGCCTGTTGAGAAAGGCCTTTGCCTTATTTATTTTTATAAAGGTACTTCTTGTCAAAAGCTCCCAAAAAAGTGGCGTTTGCTACTGAAGAACGTGAGTAGCAAATGATTGAAAAATAAACATGTTTTTCCTTATTAAAAGGAATTTTTGTCCAAAAGCGCTCCAAATAGAGCCTTCCACCAAGAGCGTGTTTTTCGTGCAGAAATCAATGGGCTTTCAAACAGTCGCTTTACTTTGATTCTTTCTTCAGTGGAGTTGATGTTAGTAGCAAAAATGTATAGCCCTTTTTTTGTCTTGTAACTATTGAAAGTTGTCTTCTTTTCGCCAAAAACCGTCTCTACTTTATGCATGCATAAAAAAGCACTCTTGTCCAAAACCTCTAATATCATCGTCGTTTTAGATAAAAATGGGTTTTTTTGAATAAGAAAAACTGACAATTACACATGTTTTTCTTGATAAAGTGCTTTTTAACTCTAAAACGGGTTAAATTAGGGTTTTTCACTAAGAGCACCTTTTTCATGCAGAAAACAATGGGCTTTCAAACAGAGGGCTCAGTTTGCTATTCCCGCCAGTGGCGTAGAAGTTACGGTCAAAACTTTCTAGCTCCGTTTGTTCGCCATACATTACGCACAATTCGAGCTACATTATTGAAGTTTGGGCGCATTTTGCTGCTAATTCTCGGCAATTTTATACGCGAAAGATACGATTTCTGAAAGTCCATTGGCTCCCGTTCAAAAAGGGATTCTTAGTCGAAAGTTCTATTATCAGCCGTTTTAGAGAAAAATAATAGTTTATGTTGAAAAACATGAGTAAAGGAACAACGGAAGGTAGCACAGTTTCTTTAAGCCTATTTTTACCCTAAAAGGGCCGAATTTAGTGGTTTGGACTAAGAGTATGTTTTTTGTGCAAAAAAACACTGCACTTCGAATCGTAGGTTCAGTTCGCAATTTTTCCCAGTGGCGTGGAAATTAGGCGCAAAAATGTGTAACCCAATTTGTTTCAGCTTTCCGTCATAAATCAGGACCGATTTGAGACAAACTATTGAATTTTATACATATTTTGCCAAAAATTTACTTCAGTATAAACAGATTATCTTCGTAAAAGTTCCAATTTCAGCCGTTTTAGACAAACAGTAAGTTTTTGCTGGTTAACATGAGTAAAAAAGAAACGGAAAAGAAACAGTTTTTTCTTCATAAAATTTCGTTTTTCTCTAAAACGACATAATTTAAGGCTTTTGTCCAAGAGCATCTTTTTCATGCGCAAAATGATGGGCTTTCAAACAGTGGCTTTAGTTTGCTGTTTGCTCCAGTGGCGTCGAAGTTTCGGTCAAAAATATCTTACCGCGTTCTTTTGCTATACGTAAGGAACTATTCGAGTTAGATTATTGAAGTTTGAGCTCATTTTTCCTGTTATAATCGCCATAATTTTTTTGAAAGTCGTTTGTGTTATCTATGAAAATATACTCCTAGTGAAAACCTCTAATATTAATCGTTTTATGCTAGAAAGGGTGAGTAAGGAAGACAAAAACCTATTTTCCTGGATAAAATGCCATTTTTCTCTAAAACAGCTTACAATAGAGCCTCAAGCCAAGAGCCCGTTTTCTGAAGAGAATAAGAGGCTTTCAAGCAGTGGCTTTAATTTGCTATTTTTCGCAGTGGTGTAGATGTCAGGAGCAAAAATGTGCGACCCAAATCTTTAGCAGTAGGTAGATTAGGAACGATTCGGGATGGATTATTGAACTTTGCGCGTATTTTGTTGGATTGCTGGAATTTATCGCTACTTTATATGCGAAAAGTAAAATGTTTTCAAAGGCTATTGTGTTCTGCCCAAAAAAGGATTCTTACTTAAAAGCTCTATTATCAGCGGTTTAAGAGAGTAATAGTAGTTTATGTTGCAAATCTTGAGTAAAGAAAAATTTTTTTTTTTTGCATAAAATCGGCTTTTTCTCTAAAAGGGCAGATTTTAGAGTGTTCCGCGAAGAGCACCTTTTTGCCCAGAAATCAATGAACTTTCAACAGGTAGTTTCAGCTAATAATTTGCCCGTGATGTAGAAGTTTGGGGCAAAAATCCTGTCATCTCAACCCGCTTAAAGGCTTTGAATGATTAGCATTCAAGGTTTAGCTCGAAAGCCATTTCAAAAGAAATGTCCATAGGGATTTGAACCAGCATACGTTACCTGCCCTGACGCATTTCTCTAAGAGCAAAAACGTTCTGCCAATTTTAAGCAGTGGCTCAGCCTCTGCTCAGCTAATTTTGCAAGAAATCTTTCGACTTCGAATCGAGTGAAATTTTTAATCCCTGAAATGAAACGGCCAGGAAAACCGCTTGTTTCAATGCTGGAACGCTTCCAATGAAGCTCTACAGACACCAGAAGCAACTGGGAATATTGGGATTTTCTTATTCGATTTCCGCAAAAAGCGAATTTGGATCGTGTGATAAAAATTAAAATTATTTACCTCTGCTCCTGCCACATTCAAATAACGCAACTTTTCCAGCTTCTCGGCAAATTTTTCATGAAATTTCGCCGATATCGACTTCGAACTGAATGTTGCACATTTGTATTGAAATATGCGGAAACTGACCCATTTGCTGAACGAATTTAGCGGCGACAGTTGCAGGATATCCAACAAAATCCGTTCCTGCAAACATTTCGGCAATTCACTGAAATACTCTGTGAGAGTGTCTGCACAATTTTCACCGCAACATTTGATCGCATCTAAAATGAGAACAATGATTACTTTTAGGCACAAATCGCGTAAGTTCTCAACAGGTTTCTTGGGAGACATGATTTGGAGCAAAAAAAACATAAGCCGAGGAAAAGGTTGCGTTTTGACTTTTATTTTTAGACACATCGGATGGCAAGTGGCCAAATTTCAAAATTACATCAAAACCGGTGATATTTGCAGCAGATAAACCATCTTCAGGAAATTCGCTTTATTTTTATAAAGAGGAAAAGTATGAATAGCACTGAATAAGTGAGAAAATTGACCTGTGAGTTACATTGGGATTTTTAAAGGAGGATTTATAAATGTGGGATCAAACTTTTAGGGATTGTGATAGTGATCCCATAGCTTTTAACGGCCCTATATATAATCAATGGATCGTTTCCTCTGGGTATTTTTCCTTCAGTTTTTGTCTGAATGTCGGATTTTCTCGGTTACTCGAACCCTTGAAGATGCGAACCAATCGACGAACATCCACGACATCCTAAGAGAACGAATTCTTTTCTACTTAGTTGTTAATGTTGTGTTCAATTCCACTTTGACCTAATTTTATCCCCATTGCTTTCGCCGAAAAATAATGCGCATTTGTGTCGTATGGTTAATTCGTTTTTGTTCAAAGTTTTGCCAAATTAATCGGTGACATTAGGGATTTGAAGAATGAATAATTATGGGATTAAGCGATTTTGCCATTGAATTAACAATTGATGCTACACTTACTATGTGCGCCTATCTAAAGATAAATATCTATTTCTTGTCGACAAACAAGCTAATCTTCCTTGGGCTTAAATGAAGTTTAATTTTTCGTCTAATTTTTGCCCAAATTTACTTTAATGCCCGTCATTGCGACGGTTTAGGATTAACAGTCGACGTGTATTGATGATGATGATGATGATGATGACGATAATATAATAATAATAATAATAACAATAACAACGATAAAACGACTAATTCTAAAAGTAAACCGTTTCAGACTGGGATTTAGTTAATTAATAGCGCAGTTATTATTGAAAAAAATTTAAGCATATTGAAGGTTGTTTGAAAACGATGTTTTTGGCGCTTTTCTGAAAATTGTTAATGCTAGGATTTTGGCAAAATATTTTCTGACCATCGTTTGATGGACTGGATATTTTAGCAAGAATACATTTCTTTGATCGAAAGCTTCGTTCAGGAGAAATAGATTAAAATGCTCGAGTTTCAAGCAATTTCTTCAGGAAATTGCGGATGAATGATTTCAAATAAAAAAATAAAAATTTGTAATGTGTTTTTCTGTAATCTAAAATTTACGTATGGACAAAATTCCCGGTAAGAAAAATACATTTGCTTGTTTTTTTTGGATGAGTCATGAAAAAATACGGCATCCTTTACAGTGTTTGCCGCAAAATTTGATTAGAAATTCAAAAATCGTCCATAACTTTCTTATTATTCATTTTAGGAAAACAGTGAATATTAACGATTTATCAATAACGATTCTTCCTATTCAGTGGCGTGCTGAGAATTGCTGCTTCGTTCGTCAATTTGAAGATATTGAAGGTTTTTTGAAAACTGCGTTTTTGGCTTTTTTTTTGAAAGAGGTGTATGCTAGGGCTTGGAAAAAAATCACGCTCGAATACCTTTTGATAGATTGGATATTTTATAAGAATTCCTTTTTTTGATACGAATTTCTATTTAGTAATAGTAAATTAAAATATGGAATTTGAGGAAATTCTTAAGTACTCGATGAATTTTTCCAAAAAAAAATCAGAATTTGTAATACGTTTTTCTGTACATAATCTGAAATTTACGTATGGGCCAAATACACCGAAGGAAAAATAAATTTGCTTGTATTTTTTTTTTGAATGAGCGATAAAAAAATACGGCATCCTTTACAGTTTTTGCCGCAAAATTTGGTTGGAAATTCAAAAATCGTCCATAACTTTCTCACTCACTTTAGGAAGAAAGTGAATACTAATGATATATATATATATAAATAATCTTTATTTCCTACAGAAAAAGGCTATCGACCCAATCGGTCTTTCTGCCCTTGTTTAGTATATATGTGCCTTAGCCTAGCTTATTCTAAAATTAATTCCTATTCCTAACGTTCGTATAAATTAATCAGCTATACAAAGAAATACTAATGATTTTATCAACAATGACTGTTCCTACCCAGTGGCGTACTGCGAATTGGTGCTTCGTTTCTGAATTTGAAGATATCGACGGTTTTTTGAAAACGATATTTTTGGCTTTTTTGTGAAAAATCTGTACGCGATGACTTCTCCAAAGTCATGAAAGAGTTGCTTTTTATAGCGTGGATAATTTAGAAAGAATACATTTTTTTGATAGCAATCTTCACTTAAGAGAAAAAAGATTTAATGTGGAATTTGAGGAAATTCTTCAGGTTCATTACCCGAAGAATTTTTCAAAAAAATTATGATAATTTGTAAGGCGTTTTTCTTTAAGCAGGAATTTATATATGAACAAAATCCACGATGAAAAAGACACATTTGCTAATAATTTTTTTTGGTCGAGCCATGGAAAAAAATACATTCTTAAAGGGGTTTTGCTCGAACAGCTACACCGGAAATTCAAAAAGTGTCTCTAGTTTTCTGATGATTCACTTTCGGAAAAAATGAATATTAATGATTTTATCAATACATCCAGTGGCGTGCTGAGAATTGCTACTTCGCTCATAAATTTAGGTATATTGAAAGTTTTTTGAAAACGATGTTTTTGCCATTTTTTGAAACCTGCGTATGCTAGGATCTTGAAAAGCTTGGTTTATCAGAAAAAAAAATAAAATGTAAAATTCGACAAAATTTTTAGGTACGAAAAATTTTCACCAAAAAAATTAATTCATAATATGATTTTCTCTAATTTGGAACTTGCATATGGACAAAATTCACAACAGGAAAAATAAATTGGCTCGCCTAAAATTGTTTTTCTGATGAGCCATGAACAAATTGGCCGGAAATGTAGAAAAGTTGGTTTTTTCTACACATTGGTTAAGATATGGACAAAATGCACGATATGAAAGCAAACTTCTTTTTGATTAAACTATTGCGGAAAAACCGCAATTTAAATGGCTTGAAATCGCAAAATCGTCCATTTTTGCCATTTTTTTAAAGCCGCGTATGCTGGCGCATGCGCAGAAAAGATTTTCTGAATACCTTTCGATTTGTTGAAGATTTCATATATATAAAAAAAGAAAAAATTGAACAAATTTTTACAAATATCGGAGGAATTTTTACGAAAAAAAATTCGAATCTGTTTTTTTCTAATCATGTGTTAAGATATGGATAAAATGGCGGATATGGATAAAAAATAAATACTGGCGATTTTATTAATATTGTCTGCTGCTACGCAGTGGCTGGTAGAAAATTGCTGCTTTATTATTAAATTTTGGGAAATTTAGGGTTTTTTAAACGGCACTTTTGGAATTTTTTGTAAACCATTTACTTTAGAGTTTTGCAAGAATAATTCTTCGCTGCCTTTGAATCGTCTGAATATTTTTATAAAAAATACGTTTTTTGCTTGGAAGCTTCTTTTGGAAGAAAAAAATTAAAAAGTGAAATTCCATAAAAAACACACTCAAAATCAGTTTTCACTTGTGAATGAAACGCACAGTAAAACAAATAAATGTGCCTCTTTTTCCTTGATTTTTGAGAAGATTATATCTATTGTACCTTTGAAGAAGCTGCATGAGCAGATCGTCCAAAACCTTAGCAGTCGAGCAGTAAAACTAAAAAGAAAACTGGAAAACTTTTCAAAATTGTTATCACTTACTTGTTACCTAAGCGTCTTAACGGAAAAATAAGTAAGGCATCCATTCCGACGTTTACGCAGGATGATTTTTTGTTTTTGCAGATAACGCAATGTTGCCTTGGGATTATCGAAATGACCAAAAAAACCGTAATTCCCGAATTACCGTTTCTCAAGCCCGATTAAAAAACTGCACATCAATAATGCCGCCGATTAACGAATTAAGATGTCACTTCAACACTAATCCATCTGCTGTGAGGATTTTCGTATAAAACACCCAAACGAACCCGACCAGAGCAACATTGTGGGGTACCAACAACACAAGACTAGTAGGATGAAGATCGCCATTTTCGCTTTTGTCTGCTTCCTCAGCGCTTTCGCCTCCGGCGAAACAGTAGAGGTGAGTTTAGTTAATCCATCCCTGATAAGCCCCAATAATTCGCCACGATTTCCAGGAATTGGGATACGATTGGGACAACATCAAGCCAATCAACCGCTACGTGGAACCAATTGGACCAGCCCCAGCTGCACAGTCTGGACTTAGGATTGTTGGAGGCAGCGTTGCTACTCGTGGAGCTTTCCCCTATCAAGCTGCCCTCATCATCAACAGCAGCAGCTTCTGTGGCGGCTCCATCATCAGCAACACCTGGGTTTTGACTGCTGCCCATTGCGTTGATACGTAAGAAGACGCTTTTTTCATGGTTGCACAGCAGAAGGTTTTAGGCCAAAATTGAACTTTTTCCAGGGCAACTGCTGTACAGGTTATTGTTGGTGCCCACAACCCAAGAACCACAGTGAACGAACCAAATCAAGTGAGACTTGCTGCCAATGCCCGTGTTGTGCACACTGCATGGAACAGCGCCACTCTGCTCAACGATGTCGCTCTTCTTCGTGTGGCCACCATCCCTGTTGGACAATCTGGAATCAGTGTGATCAGTCTGGCTCCAGCTTCTTCTGGAAACTTTGCCGGGCAGAACGCCATTGTTTCCGGATGGGGTGAGAATTATCAGCTTCTTGAACAGTCAGTTCTCTTCAATGTTGGCTGGTTTAGGAAGAACCACTGATGCCAGCACTGCCATTGCCACCGAATTGAGATTCGTCCAAGTGCCAGTTATCACCAACGCTGTCTGTGCTAACTCTTATGGAAGTTCGGTTCAGGCTCAGCACATCTGCACGTCTGGAGCCAGTGGACGTGGTTCCTGCAACGGAGACTCTGGTGGCCCATTGGTCATCGGCAGTGTGGAAGTTGGAATCGTTTCCTTCGGCGCCCGCCTTTGCCAGGCTGGACATCCCAGTGTTTATGCCCGAGTTTCCAGCTTCAGGAGCTGGATTTCATCCAACTCCGGTGTCTAAACAGTTAACACTTGCTTTCGTAGGCCAATAAATTAATTTGCATGTGGAAGTTTTGGTTTTTCACTTACTTTTCAAGCGCAAAGCTCAGATGATGCGCAATATTCAAAAGGTAACATGGGATTCGCCGCGCAGTAAAGAAAAACCGCGATTGCTTTAAAAATGTGCAGTTTGAAAACTGACGCAAGTAGCACTTTGAAATTTCTGGCGCACATGGAGTACACTCCAGTCTAAAACTGCTGAAAGTTTCACTGCAATCGCCTGCCATCCCGATTTTTGCCAGCTCGGTGAAAATTAGTAAATATCGGTCATTAATTCATTGCCCTCAATAGGGCCTCTTCCTTTAAAAAATCGTTGGTCCGAAAATAGCACAACTGTTAAATTTTCACCATCCCTAGTGGACACTTCACTGTAAAGATGGTCAAAGTTTCATCAAAATAGCCTCAAGCCTGATTTTTAGCCGCTTAGCAAACATCGGTATCAATCAGACTATGAAGGCTTTCACGGCCGGTTAAATCACATTTAGGAAGGTTTTCCGGGCTTTGATCCGTGGTCTATGGGAATTTCTTCCTGACGTTTCGTCCACAACTGTGGTGGACATTATCAAAAGCGATGAGGCAGTGGGCGAAGTGATCTCCCGTGCTTTCCACAAAATATCCCCCCAAAAAAGGGGGTATGTTCTGTGTTGGCAGTTTTCTCAAAAAAGTCTTGGTTTCACGACGTTTTAGATTTGCGTCTTTTTTTTTGAGTGGCAGAATCGACTCAAACTTGACGCTGCTTTGTTCGAAGTGTCTCAGGCCCCATTTGAGCCACCGAGTTCGTTTTGGCATTGTTGGATAGAGAATTGAAAACTCGATTAAGTCATAACAACATGAGTGAAGAAATTCTAGCAGTTTTGACCCAGAACGCGAAATTTTAATATCAGACATTTAGGTGCAAGATTATGTCAAAATTTCGTGTTTTCCGTCCCGTTTTTGCTCATATCTCGGAAGCAAAAGGTGCAAGAACGCTCATTTTTACATCATTTCAGATAGAACTAAATGGTCTTTTTAGAGAGTGCGCCTTCGATAAGGAAATGTTGGCAGTTTTCTCAAAAAAGTCTTGGTTTCACGAAGTTTTAGATTTGCGTCTTTTTTTTGAGTGGCAAAATCGACTCAAACTTGACGCTGCTTTTTTCGAAGTTTCTCAGGCTCCATTTGAGCCACAGAGTTCGCTTTGGCCCCGTTAGATAGAGAATTCTTCCCTCATTTTGAAGAGTTTACTTTAGATTGTTTACAACTTTTCTAAGAGTGAGTTCAGCAATATAAAAATACGCTGTGAAGTTTACGGTTTACAATACTGATACGAAACGCTGTAAAATTGGAAATAAAGTTTCATATCATCATCTCTGTCATCATTAAAGCTCGGATTAAAGGCAAATTGCTTTTTTTTTGCCTATTTTGCTTATTTCAAACATTTATTGGAAGTTTTGCCTTTCTCGGAAATTTGTGTCAAGTTTTGC